GTGACTTCTAATAGCCTTTACCTTTTTAAAGGAGCCAAAGCCTTAGTTAAGCCAGAAGGCGGAGTCTCTAGTGTCTAGAAGGTCTGGGTCCTAGTCCTAGCTGGGTCTGTGGCTTACCTGCTGTAGGCTCTCAGGCAGGTGGCTGCATCTTCTGGAGCTGGTTTCTTCATCCGTAAATGAGAAGGCTAATTGAATAAAAAATCCGAGGCTCCTTCCAGCGTCAACACATCTTTGATGACTTGGCCGTTGTGCACGGGGCCATGTCTGTGTAAAACCCTATTCTCCTGTATCGATGGAGATAGGCAGGCCCTAGTGGGCAGCCTGTGGGGGAAACTGAAGTCATGTCCAGGCTGTACCATGTCCCGTCTGTGACTTTGAGCAAGTCGCACATTCTCTTGGTCTCTATCTCCATTCTTCTGAACTCTACCAGTATTCCCAGACCCCCCCCCCAGGGTTTTTTTTGTGTGTGTGAATAAAGAATGAAAATGTTTGACATCAAACGCTACAGATGGAAGTGGTGACCATAGTTACAGTGGCCCCTGGGCTCCCGCACTAAGTGAGACTCTTCTGTCGTCTGGGGAGCGCTGGGACTGACAGGCTGGCTTTGCACCTGCTGGCCACCTCACATATGCTGTGGCTCTGCTCTCACTCCTGGTTCTCTGTCTGCTACGGCTCTGTCCCTGCTCCTCCCTCCCACATTTCAGGATTCGAGTATCCTCATGCAGCAGTGACCATGCAGGTGATCTGTGTGAGCTGAGTAGCCTGTTACTTAAGGTTTGGTCTGAAGATAAGCCCCCTAAATTTGGCAGCTCGCCCCATCCCCACCTTATTCCATCTCACACACACACACACACACACACACACTTTTTTTTACCCCCTCACATTGTCTTTTTGATAATGGTTAATCAAAATATTAGATTCTTGCTGAAGTACCTGACTTTCCAGTTGATCTCCTAGTCTCCTCCCCATGGAAGCCAAAAGGCAGAGATGTGAAGTAGGGTATGAGAGGAGACCGAGAACTGGGGACACAGAGATCAGTAAGATACCTACCCTGTCTTCAGTCCCGTTGTAAGGGCTGCAGGAGAAGTGAGTGCGGAGTGCTCCAGAAGGTTCCTGATGTGGCAGGGAGGATGGGGAAGGGCGTAGAGGGGATGACACTTGAGTGACCAATACAAAAAGATGGTGGGAGGTGTGTCAGTTGTACAGTTGAGGAGGTAAGGACAGAAGTTTAAGGAATGACCCCATGGTTGCAGCGAGTCACTGGAAAGTCCAGAATCCGGACTCTGAATTTGGCTAGCCTAAGGTTTTGCACCGAGATAAACTACTGTATGAAAGATAAGCAGGTAATTTGGGGTCATTACTTTTTATCCATTGCTTCATAAGATTGCAAATATAGGAGTTCTAAAAGTGAAAGAAGCAAAAAATCACTTTTCTGTACATGAAAGAAGTTCTTTTTGGGAATAAAACAAAAGCTAATGTTCAGAAAAATGAAAAATTAGACTTTTCAAGAAAACTGTCTTATCTTTGCCAGTATGCTAAAAATTGTCAGATATTTTTAACATCTTCTCTGCTGGGCAGCCCCGGTGGCGCAGCGGTTTAGCGCCGCCTGCAGCCCGGGGTTTGATCCTGAGGACCCTGGATCGAGTCCCACATCAGGCTCCCTGCATGGAGCTTGCTTCTCCCTCTCCCTCTGCCTGTGCCTGTGTCTCTCTCTCTCTCTCTCTCTCTCAATAAATAAATAAAATCATTTAAAAAAAAAAAAAAAAAAACATCTTCTCTGCTAATAAAATGTTATTCACGATGCAAGATTAATGCTGATGTGGTTACACTTGTACACTTGGTTAGTAGTCCGGTTTTTTTCCCCCAATGTTGAGAAACCTCTTGTCTTCAATATGAGTATCAGGTATAAATGAGAAAGGTAGCATATTGTCATTTAACTCAAAGATGTCTACATGCCGTACGCTCCAAAGACAGTAAGTTGATTTCCCATATAAAAATATCTTTTTCTGCAGTGTGTTACTTTTACCAAAGCAGATTATCTTGCCAAGACACTAAAATCCATTATTTTGTTTCATCTGTGTAGTTATAGATCACCTTAAATAACACATCACCTAAAATTTGGTTTCAGTCCCTCAGCAAATACCAAGTTCATCTTATCTGGATTCCTGATGGCCTAGAAGAATGCAGAGTCACTAAAATGTTCTATACACATACTTGAACTTCAAGTCACTCTTTTTCTCAATTTTCATTGTAATTTTACCTTAATGGCATGGTATTTCTGTTACAGAAAAAAAAAAAATGTTGGGGCACCCGGGTGGCTCAGTGGTTTAGCGCTGCCTTTGACCCAGGTCGTGACCCCAGGGTCCCGGGATCGAGTCCCACGTCGGGCTCCCTGCATGGAGCCTGCTTCTCCCTCTGCCTGTGTCTCTGCCTCTCTCTGTGTCTCTTGTGAATAAATAAATAAAATCTTAAAAAATGTTGACAGGCTTTTAACCAAGCAAGTTATAGAATTTATGTGGTTTCAATCTCCTTGTAATTAAAAGGAGGTTGAGCTCTTAATTCCCTTCTTTCTGTAAGATTCTGTGGTTCATTATTTTGTTTCAAGTAATGCTCTCTATCTTTAATAAGTTGAAGGTAAATAGAGAGTTGTTGATGGATCAAGACTGAAAAAATCATGAAGAAATCTTAATGTGTGCACTGACGTTATCAGGCGTGACACGTCTGGTGGATTCTCGCGTCCCTTTGTTTCCTAGCCAAAAGACATCAAAAGTAATCTACCTTCAGGTGGAAGCGCATTTCAGGAGATTTGGCCAGAGAGTGATAAGGGTGGCAGCTTGTCACAGGCTCTCAGTTGGCAGAAAATAAATGATTGTTGAAGTTAACTTAGGCATATTTTGATTCACTTGGATTTCTAAATGCAAGTCCAAAAATTTTTTTCAAAACTAAGCCCAAGAAGTGATATGAATGCATAAAGATTTATATACATATGTTTATGGCAGCGTCATTTTTTTTAATTTTTTATTTTATTTTATTTATGACAGGCACACAGTGAGAGAGAGAGAGGCAGAGACACAGGCAGAGGGAGAAGCAGGCTCCATGCACCGGGAGCCCGATGTGGGATTCGATCCCGGGTCTCCAGGATCGCGCCCCGGGCCAAAGGCAGGCGCCAAACCGCTGCGCCACCCAGGGATCCCATTTTTTTAAAGATTTTTTATATTTATCCATGAGAGAGACAGAGAGACGCAGAGACCCAGGCAGAGGGAGAAGCAGGCTCCATGCAGGGAGCCCGACATGGGACTCAATCCCGGGACCCCGGGGTCATGCCCTGGGCCGAAGGTGAACACTTAACCCCTGAGCCTCCCGGGCATCCCTTTATGGCAGGTTTAATAGCTAAAAACTAGAAACAACTAAATGTCTATCAACTGGTGAATGATTAAACAAACCGTGGTACCGTCCCGTAGTGGAGCACTACCCGGCAACGAAACGGAGCAAACTACTGACACCAGCCACAACAGGCAGGAATCTCAAGAGCATTGTGCTAAATGAAAGACATGAGACAGAAGGGGCCAAGCCATAGGGACAGACAGCAGATCAGAAAGCCAGGTCTCGGGGTCACGGGAAGGCACTGACCAGAATAACACACACTGGTACTTTTGGGGTAATGGAAACATTCTGCATCATTTCGGTGGTGCTCATGTAAACATGTGCCTTTGTCAAAACTCAGCAAAATTGTACACTTGAAATTGGTGACTTTTATTCAGTGTACCTTATACCTCAAATTTTTTTTTTAAGTTTTTATTTAAATTCCAATTAACACACAGTGTACTATTAGTTTCAGGAGTACAATTTAGGGATTCATCACTTAAATACAACACCCAGTGGTCACCACCACCAGTGCCCTCCTTAATATCCATCACCCAGCTTAGCCATCGCCCTACTCTCCTCCCCTCCAGCAATCCTCAGTTTATTCTCTCTAGTTCAGAGTCTGTTTTATGGTTTGCCTCTTGCTTTTCCCCTCCTCTGCTCCTCTGTTTTGTTTATTTTATTTTATTTTAATTTATTTTATTTTTTATTTTTTAATTTAATTTTATTTATTTTATTTTATTTTTTTATTTATTCATGAGAGACACAGACAGAGGCACAAGGAGGAGAAGCAGGCTCCATGCAAGGAGCCTGATGCAGGACTCAATCCCAGGACTCCAGGATCACACCCTGAGCCAAAGGCAGATACCCAACCACTGAGCCACCCACGCATCCCTCTCTACTTTGTTTCATAAAGTCCACATGAGTGAAATCATATGGTATTTGTCTTTCTCCGACCTATTTCACGTAGCATAATACCCTCTAGTTCCATCCGTGTTGTTGCAAATCTCATTCCCTCAAGGCTGAGTAATACTCCATTGTGTATGCACCACATCGTTATCCACTCGTCAGTTGATGGACATTTGGCTATTGAGAATGCTGCTGCTGCTACAAACATCAGGGTGCACGTATTCCTTCAAACCAGTATTTTTGTGTCCTTTGGGTAAATATACCTCAAATTTTAAAACAAACAAACTTAGGGCACTATCTTGAATGACTTACAAAGTGACTACTTCAACTGAGGAATGAATGCGTTTTGTTTTTTTTTTTTAACCAAGGGAAATAACCATCCTTATTTTGTTCCACTTTTTTATTTTGTTTTGTTTGTTTTTGTGTACTTGGTTTGTTGGGTTTTTTTTTGTTTTGGTGGGCAGCAAAGCACAGTTTTATTGAGTACAAAGCTCCTGAAGACAGAGGGGACCCAAGAGGGTGGCCCAGGAAAAAAACATTTTTAAACCTTGAACGTCGAAAGCTTGTTTTTAATTAATGGTAAGAGATGCTAACAGTGTTTGGTTTTGTGATGAATCTATACAGAAGTTTGACCGCAAAATGTGTTTGCATAGAAAACTGTAAATGATCAGCTTGCTTGAATATCTCACTGCATTTTTGCTTTCTCTTTACCTCTCTGCCCGACCTAGAAAAACTAATTGAGGGACTCAAATCTCCTGACACTTCTCTCCTGCTCCCTGACCTCTTGCCTATGACAGATCCTTTTGGTAGCACTTCCGATGCTGTAATTGGTAAAGTCGTCATCTCTGTTTCTTCAGTCCTGCATGATATATGTGTCTGTTTCTAGAATGATAACTAACTGGTTAGCAGATCCCTAGAATAGCCCTGCTCTGGAGTGGAAAATGCCACAAAGCTTCCTTTAATCTTATTTGTTATCACCGAAAGGAAGAGTTTTCTCTGCCTTCCAGGGGCAACACGCTGTTATTTTTGCTTTGCTCAATAGCCTGACGTTTCTAGAGGGACCGTCTTATGAACGAGCAATAACGGGAAAATTCAGTTAGTTCCAAAAAGCTTCATGAAGAAAGTTGCTTTCAAGCTGGGCCCTTACCTTTAGCAGATTCTTCTTTATAGGGCCTCTGTGTGTGCCAAGTATCAGTAACAGAAAACACTTGCCCAGTGATGAAGCCCCATTAGTCGAATCCAGGGTAGAGGTGTGGGTATTGCCCTGTGCTCCTGCAGCAAGGCAAGCAAGACCTATGAGGTGTCTAGGGCCTCTGTACCCCAGGGCACAGAGTCCTAAAACTGAGGAAGGCCGTGACCCTGTAGAGAGATGGGCCTCCAGCTGCGGGGTGTCCTACAGTGCAGAGCACCTCCCAGCTACATCATGGGGTGGGATTTGAAATGGACTAGTGGCTTTTGCAAGGCACAGAGGCTGTCTGTCCCCAGGTTTATCCCTGAGAACAGCGAAATTACCGTAAGATAGTACGGTGCCTCCCAGCCTGTGTCTGCTGACGTGGAAGAAACCTGCTGGGTGTCTCACGTTCTACATTTATCTCTAAAAACTGAGACTCACCGAGACTAGTCCTAGCGGTAAGCCTTGCGCACGCATGCCCAGCCAGTGAAGCCCAGACCCTGAAAGCTACGGAAATAAAGTGACTTCTTGTCCTGTCCATCCTGCCCGGGCTGGCTATTTTAGAGACCCCGTAGAAGAAAGACTTCACAGAGTTGTCTAAAGAAACTTTTGACTCCTCTTCCCTTCCCCTTTGTTCTCCTTTCTTAATGCTGTGTTACAAAAGAAAAAGCCGATGTTGCTGTTGAGAGTCTCATACCAGGACTGGAGCCCCCAGTGCCCCAGCGCCTTCCATCTCAGACGGAATCTGTGACCTCGAACCGCACAGGTCAGTCAGGTGTCTCTGCAGCTGCGGGAACCGTTCATTGTGGTGGCCCTCAAAGTCAACCTTTGCACCTGCAGCAGGTGATCCTGGGCTGCTTTTGCAGCCTGGTCAGTTCCCCCTAGAATGGATGCTCGGTATGGTTAGTGCTACCTTTCCATGCTAAAGAGCAGAGTACTTTTCGGAGCCATGTTCTTTGTAGAGTGGTACTCGGACTTTCTCGGCTGTTTCTTTATTCAAGATTCTTTTCACTGGTGGCAGGTTCCCTCCACCTCCTTCCTTAAAGAACTCTGCCGAGCTGCAAGGATGATCTTAACCCCTCCAAGGTTTCTGAACCGCCTTTCCATCTAACGGTGTCAGTCACTTCGTGGAGCTCATGCTCTGGATGTTGGCATTCTATTCTCAGCACAGTGCTTTTATCCTATATGGGTGGTTTGTTCCTAAATTGTAGACAGTGCTAAAATCTCTCCTGGTCCAGCATTGCTTTCCCCCTAATTTCAAATCCTTAATACAATTCCTTAATTGTCCATAAATCCAGAGTTGATAACCTGCATTTTTACTGAGTCCATAGTTACCTTGGTAAAAGTGTCTGATTTCCTAACTTGGAACAGAAGACAATTAGAAGTTTGGGAACTATGAAAATAAACTCATGTAGGTGGGGGGAATAAATGAATATAGAAGGCGATGTGGTTCCTTCCACTTGTGCTTACTTGACTTTCCTTTTAGAAAACTTTCCCGGAGAACAATTTGTATGTTAAGATGCTTGAACTCTGGATTTTTGTCTTCCTTCTGTTCGTTAACTAAAAGTACAATCATATATTCAGACGAGCAATTCAAATTTAAAGAATAATATTAAGAAGCAAGACCATTTTATCTTGAATGAGTATCTGGTTGGGTTCTAGAAAACACTGTTTAATCATGTCATATTCTGCTAATAATAAGCCCAAGGACAACCCCCTCCTAGTCAACTCAGATACCTCATCCTATGGTACCTTTTCCCACCAATGTTTCGGGGAAGTTTAAATGAAACTTTTAAGTTATAAAGTCCTTTTTCCCAAATGGCATTTGATGAGAACTGAGCTGCTAAAGTTTTATCTCCATCTCGACCACATATTTGCTTACCCAGCAACCTCTGAGCAAAGAATTATCCCATATTTGTATGTTCATGTTCAGAGGAATCTAGAAATACACATTTCCATAGATGAAAACGCAGGGGGCTTAATGTGTCACTTGGGGTTTTCTGTCTCCTGCCTTGGCTTGTATGTGTGACATGTAAATGCAGTAACTTCAAGGCTACGCTCTAATGTCATGATATTGTATGTGCCGTTTAATGCCATCACTGACCTGGGATGTTGTCAATCTGGACTCAGATTCTCTCACCGGGGAAGATTCCCTGATTGATGGCTCCCTGCTTTCTAACCCTACTACTGACCTTCTGGAAGAGTTTGCCCCCATAGCGATCTCTGCTCCAGCCCATAAAGGTAAACGCTTTCCTGTCCTCGGGCTCACGTGTGTCCTTCAAGGAGAACCGAATGACTCCTGAGCATTTTCCTTACCAAAAGTCTTTGCCAGGGAAGTTTTTCAGCCCCCTCCTTCCTATGGAAAACCCGAGTTTGTACTCTTAGCCCCTGGGTTATAATCCCTCTCAGGAAGAGTGCCCAGTAAGGCTCAGACAACAAACTGGCGGAGGCATCGCTTTCTGGTGTCACGTGGAGCACAGGGTATTCCACGTTCTCCATTAAAGGCAGAGCCGTAGATGGTTGAGTTGACCATCCACTGACTTGACTATCATTATTAATAGGATACGTGTTAACCTTAGAACCTAAAATTGTCTCATCCAATCTGATTTAAAGATTTTGGGTAGCGATTGCTACAATAAAGCAGGCCTAAGTCCTCGAAAGTCAGCCTTCAGCGAGTGAACTGACAAAAGTTTTGAATTTTGAGTTAGGATTGATTTCTGGATTTCTCTTTCTAATCTCCCATTTTCACGTCTTAGTCCTGGGTTGATACTGGTTTGAAATGCTGCGGGACAGAAGTAGCTTGAATGGAGTTCCCTTCAGCAAGTTTGTAAAAGTGACGGGCACAGCGCCTGGCTTACTGTGTGCAGCATTCACTAAACCTCTTTCTGTACTTGGGCAGTGAAATTGGTTTTGTGGAAGGGGCAAGAATATAGAAAAAGAACAATGTTGAGTTTATTCTGAAAGAAATTCAAGAAGGGAGCTTCCCCGAGATGTCTAAAAATAATTAGCTTAGGGTTTGCAGGGGTAACAGTGGAGCTTTTGTTTTTACCCTCGACAGCATTGAAATGATCATGTTTTTATAGAGTATGTGTTTGACCAGGTATGCCTGGCAGGAGTGTGTCCGCAGCAATATGTAATCACAGAGAAGCATCACTTGCAAAATAGGTGCTCAGCGAGCACTTTGTGGCAGGATAGTCTTAATCAGAATTGTGGAGAAAGCTCTAACATGCTTCTGCTGGAAATCTCAGTGCATGTGATCTTGGGCCCCAACACTCCCCGAGGCATCAGAGTGGATGGAAAGTCGTTTTCCTCCAGTCACAGGGCAGCAAGTCCTTTCAGAAATATTTTGTTTGCCTTGTATATAGCAGTTGCATCTTTTTTTTTTAATTTAAATCCAATTAACTAACATTCAGTGTCTATAGTAGTTACTTTTTAAAGAAGCCCCTGCCCCTGGCTTTGAGGTTCTCGAGTTTTGTCTGTTAGGCCTCTATTTGCTCAGTAAGGAAGACCAATGACTAATTCCCATGCCTTTGTGAATTATGGGCATTGAAGAGCCACCTCACAGCAACTACAGTTAGTGGTCTCACAGTGGCCAGAGAGAACGCGTCCTCTGACCCTTCCCCCTAATCACTTATGGAAGTCTCCAAACCATCTTTTCTGTCTCCCTATTTCCAGTTTTGCTGCTTTTATTTCAACTCATGAGACTAAGCGTTGTCACCTTCAAAAAACAACCATGATTGTATAGTTGGGAACTTTGTGCCTCTTACGTGTTCTCTCGTTTGCTAATCTCTACCTCTGTTGTTTCTGCTTGTGTACTTGCATTCTGTATTAAGCTGCAGAAGATAGTAATCTCATCTCAGGTTTTGATGTCCCTGAGGGCTCGGACAAGGTGGCTGAAGATGAGTTTGACCCTATTCCTGTATTGATAACCAAAAACCCACAAGGTAAGAAAGAGAGGATGGGGAACAGAGAAGAGCTTGACATCACAGCTCTCTACAAAATAGTAATGTACCTAATCTACCAGAGGGGAAACTGCATCCACACCTAACGAGGGAAACAGGGGATAATGACCGTCCCTGGGGCTGAGCCAGGGTAAGGTAGAGACACAGGTACAGACCAAGATGCGGTGATCTCAAAGCTGGGCTGTGCGGTTTATTTAGAGAAAAGAGAAGCATTTATTTATTTAAAAAGCATTTACTTAAAAGATTTTATCTATTTATACATGAAATACACAGAGAGGGAGAGGCAGAGATACAGGCAGAGGGAGAAGCAGGCTCCCTGCAGGGAGCCCGACATGGGACTCGATCCCGGGACGCCGAGGTCACGCCCTGGGCTGAAGGCGGCGCTAAACTGCTGAGCCACCCGGGCTGCCCCAAGAAAAACATTTAATACTTTGACTAAAACCTGGGTTTTACAAGGTATCAAGCCAAAACTAAAATGACCTTTAGTCAGTTAACCAGAACGCACGTATTTAAAAAAGAAAAAAAAAGGCTCTGAACGTTTTTTTAGCATGAGTAGAATAATCCACAATAAACATTCTTGCCAAAGAGATTAAATATGGTGCTTTGATACCATTTGCATCTTTCGGACATTTGCGAAGCATCCTTTTTCCTCTTTGATGGATTAAAGCCGTTTGCACATGCCCTGAGGCACCGAATTGCCGTGGGACCATCCATATATTTCCCAAAGCACGTTCCTATTGCCAGTGGTCTTAATACCTAATTTCTCCCCAAAGCAAAAAATGTTGACGTTTGCCTTAGCAGGGAGGTGATTCGATGTTATCAGGAAGTTAGGGTGCAGCCAGCAGTTCTCAGGCGAAATACATGTTCATGGGAAAATAGCATCCTCTCTGCAAGGTATTGGGCCTCCAGGGTGTGTGCCTGAAGCCGAGGTGGGAGGTGGTGGAAAGCTGGCCTGTGTGTTTAAAAATCAACATGTAAGAGTTTGCAAATGTAAATTGTTGCTTCTCTAGGGTTTGGTTTTGTTTTTGTTTTTTCTCCTTTGCTTGCTCTGCACATCTAAACCTTAACCCTCTGTGTTTTGTACTGAATTCCTATCTCTCCACTTCCAGGTGGGCACTCTAGAAACAGCAGTGGGAGCTCTGAGTCCAGTCTTCCCAACCTAGCCAGGTCTTTACTGCTGGTGGATCAGCTCATAGACCTGTAGCCGTGACCCAGTAGCAGATGCAGTTCTGTAACCTTCACACCGTAATATACATTTTCATTACGGAGTTATAAGAAAAATGATTTTTTTAAAAAATCTGCTAATAAGGGGCCCTCTAGCCCTTGTCTCCTACCCCTTGCCTTCTCCTGTAGAAACGATAAGGAAAGAAAATCACTTTGGCCCTCCACATATTCCTTGGCCAGTTCCTCCCTGTTAGTTTGCTGTGTTTTCTCATTACCCTTCTTCAATAGCATAATCTTAAATCAAGCGCTAGATGCCATGAGCTTCACCTCTGCTGGAATCAACTCCACCCAAAGCTTAACTGTAACTGAAACTAGTGAATTGACACCTTTGTCTCATTCTTGCTAGGAATGGCCTCCCAAACCAATCCTCCCAGCCCCTGTCTCCTTTGGCCAGATGCTGATGAATGTGTTTCTCTGTTTTTGCTTTTTACGCTGCTGCATTATCATGAGGACATGGCTTCTTCAGTTGGTCTTGACTCTGGGCAGTAGCCTGGAGATGGGTGTGTGATTTAAGAGAGGGTAAAACTGACGGACGGATGGGATGTGTTTGAAAAGAGAAATTGAGCCCAGCTCTAGCCAACCAGCCTTGACCTTGTTTGATCATAGACTTAGCCAAGGGATTTTCCACCCCATGCAACCTGCCCAGCATTCATCCAGCATTCTGGCTTCCATTGAACCGTGATTTCTCAGATCTGGAGACGTGACTGCAAGTACTTGAGATCCTTGGATAAAATGTGTACATTATTTAAAACCCAAGTATTGCCATTCCTTTCCATGTTAACTGTCCCAAGCCGGGATCTCAGAATTAGACCAAAACAAGACAATGGTGGTAACATGATACCTTTTATTAGAAGACTTTTCACTGGGGGGTGGATGGGGGAGGGGAAGGAATTGTAGCAGAAACAGATGTATTTTTCTTGTGATTTTTATTTTGAATCAAATATTGTAAATTGTGTATAAATGAAGACGCTGAATAGCTCTGTTTCCACTTGGCGTTTCAAGTCTGATATCAGGTGTCTGTACAGGGTTTTGATCTCACTCCCTTGTATAACTATACAGCAATCCTACAGTATAACATATGGAATCATTTCGAGTAGACTTGTGTGTTGCTATAAGCTTTCAGCAGGTCCTCTGTCTTTGTAGAATAAGCATGTCGTTTATTTTCAGATAATCAGAAATAAGTGTGCTGACAAGCTAGGCACAATTTGATTCTGGCTACTTACCTTTCTTTTCTCTCTGATGTTTGAATCGAAGGATGCAGCCAATGAAATATGTTCAGTTGGTTTTCCTTGGCTTCCTAGATTAAAAACAAGACAAAACAAAGCGTAGTTCCTCACTAACCTTAGAATATTGTTCATAAAATAAATAAAGGACCCTGCACTGACATGACAACATGCCTCATGGTCACCCTCTGTATATGTCCTTACTCGTTGAAGTGTATTTTTCTTTTCCTTACACAGAAAGCAATTTTATAGAATTGCCCTTTTGGAAAGAGGTGGGCACAGAGAAACCCGTCGTGGTTCTCTTCCTTGAGTGCCATTTTCCATGATCAGAAGGGGAAACTCTTAGTTGATCAGATTTGTACAAATAAAATTCCAAGCTCATTTGCTTGTTTCTCTATCTAGTACTTTTGTTTCTTCTTCCTCACGTTTGCACTTTAAGGGGGAAAAAAAAAAAGTTGAGCAGCAACAACAGCCTGCAAAGCACTGCACGTTGGAGGTCAAGCCTTGACCCCAGAAATGTGAGAGCAGCCTTTGAAAGGCATCGGAGGAAAAGTCTGAGTCTTTCAGTCTTCCTTCTGACTTTAAATACTTCCTGTGCCGGCTGAAACTAGATGAGCTAAGTAAAGCCCTCTATTAGGATAATGGATCATTTCCAAAATTGAGGGAGGCACAACCTTCCTGCTGAAGATAAAAAAAAAAAAGATGTCCTTGAAGAGCTCTCCATGATTGGATGGCAGTGACAGTGGGACTCGGCTGGCCCCTCTATGGACAGGGATGTTCCTGAAAATCAAAACTGTATTCTTCTTTTTTCCTGGACATAGATAAAGAATGTATAAACAAATGAAGGAAATGTTTATTTTTAAATAAGAACAATGTTTTATGCCTATGTTTTCCAATTTTATTTTTTTTCCATACGTATACATGTCAGAAATATAATGAAATATCTAGTTTCTCAATTTAATTGAAACCGTGAAGAGTACAGTGTAGAAATTCGGTATCTCTAAATTGTTCCTTTCGTGTATTACCCATAATCACACTGAGATGTATTCCCTAGTCGTCTGGCTCAATAAAGCTTAATGGAGACTGTTAATGAGAATGAACAGACTGGAAGCCAGAGACTGGATGGAGGAAGCCCGAGGGAGATAACGGCGTGAAATCATCTTGGGTTTGTCCTTTAGGGATAGGACCTCAAAGGGGAGAACTTTTTTTTTTTTCTTTTAAGGAGCCCATGTGAGTGACTCAGTAAATGGCACCTCCCTTAGTGTAGAGCTTCATCCCTGAGCTAAAAGGGTTTATCTGATAGGAGACTAGAGACAATACAGTGTCTGATAACTGGTAGACCCACGGAACTCGAGACGGAGCCACAAGCGGGGTCAGAGAGACCAGTCTCTGGTCCATCCACTTCGTTTCACGGGTGTGGTACCCGAGGCCGGGCCGTGGGAGAAGAGGCCTGGGCAGGACAGTCCACCTGGGGTCTCTCCCTGACGATTGCCAGTCACCAGCCAAGTGGGTTTCAGCGGGCGCTTCGCTTCCAAGCGCTGTTGCTCCTTATGTATGCAATGATGAGTCTGGACTAGATGGTCTTCAAGCTTACGGGATTCTAGAGTTCTGCATACGTATTATTATGCTTTGGAAGGACTGTGAAGGATTCGTATAATCCTGATGTTCTTCAGTTATCTTCTCTAGTTCTTTCCGTTACTGGAGCAGTATTTACATCTTAGAGAATCATAACGGCCCTTCACCGGCTTAGGTTGCCCTTCCTTGGTTATCGCAGCAGAAGCCTACATTATCGGTGAGTTTGGGACATAGACCCTTTTAGAAAAACTATTACACGTACCTGCCTATTCCAACAAAAAAGTATCAGACACCTTCAATTCTTCTAAAATATAATCGGTGATCTGGCACTTAAAAATGAGCAGACACTAAAAGCATATGTCTCTAATTTGCTTTAGTCCCAACTGTGCACAAGTAGTAACTGCACCAGAACACATCGCAGATTTTTTTTCTCCTTTACCGCATTCAGGTAACTAGATCACCAAATCTAAGTCCCAGTATTTTTAAAAACCACAGGCTAAGAAGAGATAAGGTTTAAATGGACACCTCTAACTCTGATCATAATTAATGGGTTCTTCAGCAGACATATCAGAATTGCGACCGCTCATTGCGTGTTGTTCCCTCCGAAGGCATCTGGTTTTACTTGGGAGGCTAATGCTTTAGCGATGCTGCCTTCATTTACTTTATTTTTGAAACTACTACCCTCCTTAGAAACCATCAAGGAAGGTAATCAGGTATAAGAAAAATCCGTTGAATTCTTATCTAATTAGTATTGCTTTCAACATCTGGAAGTGTGTTCTCTTTCCTGGTCTTTTCCATGACTCCTGGTTCTGAGTCACATTTAGCTGTTTCCCAAAACCAAAATCACCCCCTCCCCCCCAGTGAAGCATGGTTACTATTAAAGACAGTGAAAGGAATAACCAACGAAAATTCCCAGAGATGACCTTTTATAATGGAAAGCGACAACAATCAGTCTTAATTTCCTCAATATTCTGAATAAGGGAACTTCCATAATTGCACCTGTCTTTAGTAGTTTAGAAAATGGAAAGATGCGGATTTTAAAATAACCTCTGAGGGAGGTTGTCACTCTGTTCCGCGTCATTTGATATTGGACTTGGTTCTTCCCGAATTAGAATTATAGAACTTGGGCCGCTAATAATTACAAGGGAACAAACTCAAGAAAAGAGCCTGTTTTTCTCAAGATGGAATTTTAGTCTTGTTTATCATACTTCTTTTCCCCCTGCTCTCCTGGCAGGTAATTGATCATTCTGATTCGAACTAACACAGTTTTCCCCAGGTCAGGAGCAGTCTGCCTTCAGCAGCAATCTTAGACGAAGGAGAGGACCTTTGGGGTTGAGCTCCGCGCAGAAGTGTGCAGGGATCTGAGTTCGGCTGAAGAAATGCACACTGTAGATAACCTTGGGCCAAAGTAAAGTCTCCCATGATGATGTTTGTCTAAGTTTCCAGGAGTCTTTAACTTTCTCTGGCTGTAAGATTACCAGGATCATGTAGCCACTAACTTAAGAGTTTGGGGACAAAAATGACAGGCTCGCCCAAAGTCCTAAGAAGCAAATTAGAGGCTGCCAGGCAGAGCAGAGGAGCTATCAGAGGGATGCAGAAAATGAGATCTTTACTGAAACACTCCAGATAATACCAAGCTGTCTTTTAGTCCTCTCTAGAGACTATAGTCTTACCCACACGAAGTTAGTCTTTTCATTTTCCACGCTCGCCCTGTCGCTGCAGTTGGATGTACTTGGGTTTCTTGAGTCGAAATGAATCCCAGATGGCCTCCATGTAAATCATCTGTAAGGAGACACTACTTTGTTTATCCTGGGTTTCCCTTCACTGCCCGTGGAGGAGGTGGAGGAGGTGGAGGAGGGAGGTGCTCCGGGGAACGCTGACTGACTCCAAGTCACCAAACTTGGAGTCCCGTAGTTGCCCGAAGGGAAGACACTTTCTTGGTTCCCACGTTGCTGTGGCGTCCTGACTTCAGCCTTTCCCCCGGGAGTCATTACCCTCCCCGGCCCTGCCCTGCCCTGCCCTGCCCCTGGCACCTGGATGTGTATTTACCGCAGGTCTCTATCAGGTCCTCCCCAAGAGGACAGAGCAGACAGAGGTCCGCGAAGCTACCCTACGCAGTAAAAATACGGAACTTAAACATTGCTGCGCAAGTATTGTATTTAAAAAAAAAAAGTCTGTAAACAGTTTATTATGTAAACACACAGGAATAAAGACTTCTCTGTTCACCCAGGAGCCTGATGTTCACGGGTGTGAGTAACTTTGAACAGCTGCCGCTTTCCTGCTCTGAAAACCCACCGTGGCCAAAGGGACTTAACCCGGTTGTTGGGTGACAGTCAGCACCTGGGCGCAAGGGGGGGCGGCCGCGTGCTGAGGACGGGTACCGAGGCCACCCAGCTTCCCCCGGCAGGCAGGGAGAGCACCCCCGGAGCCTGCATTCCCTACGACCAGGCTCGGGTTCGAAAACAGAGCACGGATTTGCAGCTCCCTGCTCTGACTTAATCTCTGGGTTCCCGGGGCCAGTTTAATTAGACATTCGATGTTGGCGACAGCAGTTCTGTGCTCCCCGAAACCCCCCTCGCTTCATTGTTGCCTTGGCCCGAGGGGCACAGCATCCCCGGCTGCGTCGGCCGCCCCCGAATCCCCACTCCCCAGTCACGGGCGTTAATGCCACGCACAGCGCACGGCAGAGCCAAACCCTGATTTTACCATCTGAGCCGAAGGCCACGGAAGTTACTGACCTGACGTGCAGCTCTTGAGTCCCTGACTTGGCCCCAAGAGGGTGGGTGTTCATTGGCGCAGCACTTCTGACCTTCCCGTGAAGGGCCAGTTTGCTTTCTATTTGCCAAATGTCTGAGCTTTCTCGGCCCCCCGAGTCTTCGTTTCCAGCTTTTGGCAAGGATCGTGTCTCCGAGACCGCTCGTGATCACTTCAGTGACAGTGTGGGGGAGAGTGAAATTCTGGCCGTGCGTGACACGTTGTACTAAAGAGTATCCAGCCTGGAATTTAAGTCTTCAGAATCTGGATTTTTTTTTTTTTAAAAAAAGCCCTCTGATGACCCCTCACTGTGTCCATGAGATCAAAGCCCCGGGGTAACCCTACCCCAAACCACTGAGCACAGTTAGGGAGGAGAATTCCCGAGCCGTCCAGGACTCTGGGCGGCTTCCTTCCTACTCTGTCAAGGATATGAACTCTTACTGCAACCTGCATGCATTCTGAGCCTCAGAATAGACTAAAATGGGGTTATCCCGAGTCGAAGTCTCAAAAAAGTGTGCCTAACCCTTAATCTTGCACATGGTCCTACATGAGAGCAAGAAAAAGAAGTGTGTCTCGCCTTAACGTAATGAGCTAAACCAGAATGAAGAGAGCCCTAGCCCAGTTTGAGGGGATTAGAACCAAATGCCCTACTCTGGGCTTCGTGATAAGGAAGACCCCTGTGCGCCCCTGAGGCCGGGGCCTGGCTCCGAGCCCCCCACCCCTCAGGAAGCGGCTGGCTTCACGGAGCGCGGTGGCCCGGGGTGTCTGCTGTGCCCGGTGTTGGTTCCCAGAGGGGGGGCCCAGCGCAAGGGGACACGAGTGCAGATCCTTTGCTGGTAGCCAGACGGCCCCCATCACATCCTCCCAGTAGAGCGAGGCCGTTCTCAGAGGGGCGGCTCACCCCGCACACGTACACGGCCCCTACAAGAACAGACTCCGATCCCCCCAAAAAGACCTCCCTGCCGACAAGGTGTAATGTCCATCTTCTGCTTCCAGGTACTGGGGATCTCCCCTCCTCTCGACCGCTCTGTCTTGTGCTCAGGGGCTATGGGTGTCCGGGTCTCCCCCACAGCCACCGGCACCCTGGGCCAGCTGCGAGGGGGTTGCTGTCTGCTGTGGGCACACGACAGCTTCTCTAGAAACGAACGGAGAGGCTAAGGGACTTGGCCTCCTTAGGAAAATCCTTCCAGCGTAGCTGTCCGAGCCTGCAAAGCAGATTGATGCCTTGAAAGAGAGTCCGCTCTGGCCTTGTCGTGAAGGGCGGGAAGCAAGCTTCCCCTTCACACTCAGTGTCACAGGGGTTTTGTGACCGTCCGTAGGGATTTTTGAAAGTCCTGGACATCTTAGGTATGGCTCTCCCGTTACCATCAGGGTCCTGGTATGTGCGGATTTGGCGGGTGTCCACTTGACCACGAACCCGCTTTTTAGGCGATTTAGGTCTAGGTTAAGCACGTTCCTCCGTCCCGTCCGGCTCTGAATGCGGGCGCCGCTCCGTGGTACTCGGCAGCTCCCAGAGTGCCCCGGACCCTCGCGGGCGTCCCACGCACCCCGCTCCGCGGGTGGCTGCTGCTTGGCACTGTGCACGCGAACTGGTCTGAGTTCGATTTAAATTTCCCCAAAAACGCTCACTCCAGTCGCACTGGAGCTCAGTGTTCAGTACCCACTAGGATGACGCCAGGATTGGTCATCGGCTGGACTCAATGTACCTTTTTCCCCCTAGAACAGGCTTGATAACGCCAACTTTGGGGTAATTTTTGGAAGAGGAGAAACTGTGCCTTAGTTTTGGCTGAAAACTGTGTCGTCCAGCGGATGCTGGGTTAGAAAGCGGTTCAGGGAGCTTGGGGGAGGGGAGCTTTCATACCCCTTGGCTCGGCCTGATTCTGGGAGGCTCCTCCCCCCCCCCCCCCCGCGCCCCCGTCTCATTTGCGTTTCCTCTCAGAAGTCCCCCAAGAATCCCCGCCACAGGACTAATAGCAGCATAGTCGCCGAGAGGCTGAGGTCAGGGGTCTCCACGTACACGGCAGGCGGCGCGTTCCGTCCACTGCCTGTCCGCCGGCTGCCACTTCCACGTCGCCGAGCGGGAGCACGTACTGAAGCTGCAACGCAAGGGGGAAAAGTCTCCTCTTCAAAATCACGCTCTGCAAGCACCACCCGGGACGCTGTTTGGCGCCAGGACAGAATTCCGCTTAAAGACTCTGCCTGGAAATGCACCGGATGCGTTCAAGCTCTTAGAAAATGAGGGGGACACTCGCCTTTTTTTTTTTTCTGGTTTCCGCAAACAATATTTAAGGTCAGAGCTGTTTAAAAAGAAGCACTGCTAAAAAAAAAAAAAAAAAAAAAAGAGTCCTAGAATTCTGCGAAACGTAGTATTTTTGTACGTTCCCTTCTAAAATGTTCCAGCCTCTCTCTACGTCTCTTTACAATGTAGGTGATGTCTCCTAAGTGACTGGCTTCCCAATAAACTGATTTTGATGCCGCTTCTGCTGTGTTCTGTGTGCTTAATTCAAGCAGAAACCTTAGCATGGGCCGATTGTTAGCGGAAGTTTCTGGTAGCTCACCACTTGCCCGGGAGGGGAGAGGGTAGCATGGGGAGGGGCTGATGGGATTACCTGAGCACGGAGGTTCCAAGTCGGCTACCCAATCCACACCATTGTACCAAGGCCTGGTGGGTTGGGAACCCCAGGATGAAATGACGCCTTTACCCCCAGCCACCCTTTCTCTGGATTCTTCTTGCCTAGTTACTTATGCCTTTCTCCTGCCCTCTTGCTAACATGTGCCCAATGACCTACTTCTAACCTGCTAATGTTTCTTGGAAGGTAAGCTCTCTCGCTTTCTGATAATTGTCTATTTGATTTGAAAAGCCAGGCCCCCCAGCTCCCTCTGTGTCGCCAGAAGTAGACGAGCTTAGTAGAGTTTGCGGAAGTTTCCGTCACTACCCACGGATGTGACTCCATCTGCTTGAAGAGCCTTATGATAGATGCGCTGAAGCAGAGGAGATGTTTGCTAACTTAGAAAACCGAAGCCAACCCGAGCAGGATCCCAGGGCCGCTCCAGCGGAGGGGCTGGACGTGACAGGAGCCGGCAGGGCCCCCGAAGCGCCCTCGGTCCGGGCTGGGGGGCGCTCGCTGCTCTTGGCCGCGCTGCCGTGGCGGCCTGACCTCCGGAGCAGCCCTGTGCTCTTGCAGGCCCGGGGTGGCGGGGCTGGGCCGCGTCCTCAGGGGCAGGCAGGGGGCAGGCCACCCCGGGGGCGGGTCGCATTTGTCCCTGCCCTGAGCATCTCTGCGTACCCGGAGGTGCCGAGGCGTGTGTGGAGACGAGGGACTGGGCCTGCAGCCCACCCGAGCCAGTGCCAGGTAGACGGGTGGCGGTGCCGGCGCGCGGGGCATCGTGTCCTTGTGCTGAACGTGCGTGTGTCTACACCCTCATCTCCTGTCCCGCACACCGTGCGCGTCCTGTTCCAAAGTGTGAGACGGTGGTTGCTCGTGTTCCGGTTTGTGTGCCGTTTCCTTGCCTGACTTTATGTTTCCGTTTTTCCTTTTTCCATTTCCACCTTTATTATTTGGCCCCCGATGTGTCCGCCGCGGGTTGCCGTTGCGTGTCCAGGGAGAGCTGACGTGACCTGTGCCTTAATGCTGCCCTTTGTGCTTCCCTAGGTCTCCAGAGAGAGCCCAACCCCCGCCCTGTCCTAACCGTAGAGCACTTTAAGGAGCCGGCGGCCGGCAGAGGCGCCCCCCTGCACCCGGAGGCCTCGGGAGCGCCCGGCGCCCAGCGCAGCCTGGAGTCGGACTCCCTGGCCCGCGACGGCCCTTCGAGCAACAGTTCGTTCCACAGCAGCGAGGAGGAGGGCACGGACCTGGAGGGGGACGTGCTGGACTGCAGTGGCTCCCGGCCCCTCCTGGAGTCCGAGGAGGAGGACGATGGCTGCAAGGGCCCGCAGGGGAGGCCGGGTGGTGTGGGGCCCCTCGCTCGGGAGCTGGGTGCCGGCCGGGTGGGCCAGGTGAGCCAGGAGGGCCAGGCGGGCCAGGTGGGCCAGGCGGGCCAGGCAGCCCAAGCAGGCCAGGTGGGCCAAGTAGGCCAGGTAGGCTGCGCAAGCCAGGCGGGCCAGGTGGGCCAGGCGGACCAGGTAGGCCAGGCAGGCCAGGTGGGCTGGTTGGGCCAGGTAGGCCAGGTAGGTGAGGCGGGCCAGGTCGGCTGGTCGGGCCAGGTAGGTCAGGCGGCCCAAGCGGGCCAGGCGGGCTGGGCAGTCCAGGCAGGCCCAGTAGGCCAGGTAGGCCGGGCCGTCCAGGTGGGCCAGGTGGGCCAGGTGGGCCGGGCGCCCTTCCTGGGCCTGGAGCAGCCGGCGGCCGCGGGCGGCGCAGAGCCCGACGTGTTCGCCACCGCCCCGTTCAGGAGCTGCCGGGGCCCCGCGCCGGGCCTGGACATTTTCTCCAGGGCCCCGTTTGTGTGCAGGGCGGGCGCGGCCCCGGCCGAGGAGCCCGACGTGTTCCTGCGCGCCCCCTTCAGCAAGAAGAAGAGCCTGGAGGAGCCCGAGCCCCCGGCGCAGGCCCGCGCCGCCCCCACACCCCCGGCCGAGGGGCCCCCGCGCCCCGGCCCCGACCGCGCCGCGCCCCCGGGCCCCGCCCCGCCGCCCGCACCCCCCGACGGTGCCTGCCCCGCGGCGCCCCCGGAGCCGGGCCCCCCCGCCGACGGCCGCCCCTCGCGCCCGCAGGCCCTGCGCAAGTACTCGCGCCACTACGGCCCCGACGCGCAGCCCCTTGCCGCCTGCACCGTTGTGGCTCCGCCCGGCGCCCAGGCCGCGGCCCCCGTGAGCGCCGGCGCCCTGCCCGCCAGGACCGCGGAGCTGCCCGCCGACCCCTTCGCCCTAGCGCCCTTCCCTGCGAGGTCGGGCCGCCAGAGGCCCTAGGGGCGCTGCGGAGCCCCGACCTCCAGGCTGGCCCCCCGGAACACGCGGGGAGCCCCGACCTCGCTGCTGACCCCCCAGAAGGGATAGGGTCCCCCGAGCCCCGACCTCCGACCTCGCAGCTGACCCTTACAGCTGACCCCCAAGAAGAGAGGGGGCCCCCTGAGCCCCGACTTTGCAGCTGACTCCCAGGAGACGCGGGGTCCCCTGAGCCTCGACCCTCGCAGCTGACCCCCCAGAGTAGACGGGGTCCCCGAGCCCTGATCTCGCAGCTGACCCCCAGGAGACACAGGGTCCCCGAGCCGTGACCTCGCAGCTGACCCTGGAACATGTGGGGAGCCCTAACCTTGCAGCTGACCCCCCAGAAGAGAGAGGGTCCCTGAGCTCCGACCTCGCAGCTGACCCCCAGGAGACGTGGGGTCCCCTGAGCCTCGAACCTTGCAGCTGACCCCCCAGAAGAGACGGGGTCCCTGAGCCCCGGCCTCACAACTGACCCTCGCAGCTGACCCCCCAGAAGAGACGGCGTCCCCGAGCCCCGACCTCACAGCTGACCCTCACAGCTGACCCCCCAGAAGAGGCGGGGCGGCCGAGCAGCCTCCGGTTCCACGCGGCCAGTGACCCCAGTGATAGTGACACTCAGTGGAACCCCCGTAAGTTATGCTCATTTCCCTTGTGGATGCGGATTTCGGACCTCCGGGCACCTCGCCTCCTCCTGCGCCCAGAACTCTGCTCTCTCCGCCCCCCAACTGTTGAAGTCCAGGAAAGCGTCCCCCCCAACCCCAAAGGGGCCAGGCTCCCCCAGGTTCTGGTCCTGCGGGTCCCCGGTGACTGTGGCCCAAGGACTCAAGGTCCACCCTTGAGTGGTGAAGGGGACGTGGCCGGAGGAGGTGCAAGGGGCCCCTGCAAACCCAGGGCCGCGGGTCCTGCCCACACCAGTCGTTCCTGTAAAACCAGCAGCCCCACCGGGAGCCCCGGGAGCGCGTGGCCCTGCGAGCCAGGCTGGCCTCACACGTGAGTGAGTGCGGGTGTGTAACGGGCGTCAGATCCTTTCCTTCTGTCGAAGTGTGCCAGTGCTGAGCCTTCGCACGCCTGTGCTTGTTAAATCCCTGTGAGTGTACAGGTGCGTGTGCGCGTGCGCATGTGTGCCCAGATTGCATTTCCCTGGGTCCAGCCGGCTTCCCTCCACCTACCTCCACGGCCCCTCATTTCCTGGCATCAGGCTCCTGGCCTGTCGCAGCTCCTGTTTTTACTTAGTCGTCTTGTGGCGAGATCGAATTCGTTGGAAGGTGTGGGAAAATTCTGCCGAAACTGAGGTTTCGGAGATTCTTTTATTTCCTCCAAAATTTGCTATTAACAAATTCTCTTTGCACGGTCTTAAAAAATTAATTATGCTCTTTCCCTCAGAACATTAGAAAAGAGCACCCTGTGGCGGCTCTAACCCCTGGGCACGTGGTTTCTGCGATAACGTACCTAGACCCTCAGGCCTGAGCACGCCACCTGCCACCTGCCACCTGCCACCGTGGGATGCGGCTCGAGACTCGGCTCCAGACGAGATCGGCTTGTGGGTGCTTGCCCATTCCTTGCCCCCTTTCTCCGCCGCCCCTTGAGGAAAAATCTGAGACCCGTAAATCAGTTGGGAGAAGAGTAAGGAGCCGAGTCCGCGATCCCTGCAAACGTTCTGATCCCCCATCCTCTGGAGACGTCCAGGTAGGCCAGGTGGGCGCCTGGCTTGTGTGTTTGCGAGGTCTTCTATTCCGGGCGAGATCTGGCCGCCCGGCTGCTTCCGCAGCCTTCGTTATTAGTGCCTTAAGGTGAGACTCCGGTGTCTCCACGGGAACATCTCTGCTGACGAAGTTCAACCTCGTGGGAGGAGCTGCTGCACCGTGTTTCAGCCTGAAAGCTCCCTGTGACTTGTCGTTGACGTCAGCGATGTCTCCAGTCGCTGCAGGAGTCGGGAGAGTTGCTCACCCAACCTGGTTAAGGATTCAAGAATTGGAAATTCGTCCAAGAATCAAGCCAGAATGCCAGACTTGATCGCAGTTGATGAGGGGTCATACTCTTTCAATCGGTGGCATCTTAGGGGTAGGACATGAACAGCAACTTCACAAGACTTTTTCTAGTTCGGCCTCCGCCTATTTCAAATGTCCAGGTTAAAAGACAAACTTAAATAATCGGCACTGGATCAGGGCTCGCAGCAATGGTCTCCCAAGTGAGGTTCCGACCACGACAGTCTTTCCCTCTGGGGAATGTTAGTTAAATGTTCCTTCGCAGAGGTTGCTTTTCTCCCGGTGATTATTTCTAATTATTTTGTGTAACAGGGGATGCAAAAATCATCTCTCCAGTTGGATAAATAGTCTGGGCTCATGCGTATGGAACTTTGCACCCCACACTCTAACCTTGGTCGTTATCATGTAAAGCCCCCCAAGGCAGGCGCTGAGAGGATAGGAGCATTCGGGGAGAGTTCTTACCCCAAGACAGAAGCTCTTCAAGGGGAAGGCCATTCTCACTCACTCCTCCAAAAATTCAGGGTTGCCTCTGTAACAGCCCTGCAAAAGGTCTTTCCTTCGGTTATTTAATTGCTTCTTCCTAATCAAGTATCCATTTTAGCTCTCCAGGTAAAATCATAAAATCGTGGTGATTTTAATCACAGAGTTGAATCATTTGTCACGCGTGGGCTGAGTGAAGCATGAAAAATTTGTGACTATCCTACCTTACGTATTAGCTAATAACTAGTAAATTCTGCATCGATCTTTGGAACGTATAGGGTAAAAGCATCATTTAAAGATAAAATATTCTTGCCAGAGGCCATCCTGAATCTGGAATTCTAGAAAATTTAGTGTTAAGGGATTTAGGAGTGCTCAGGGTGCTTTAAATTAGTAGCAAATGCATGTTTCCAACAACTATACCGCAACAGGTTAACATTAAAGAGAAAAAGAGGATATATAGTCAACAAAATGCTACACCTCTTAGTTTTATGTGTTATTTGCTCTACACATCTGATGGGGATGCAAGAACTTGTGCCTTTGCATTTCAGTGGAGTGCAATGAGCCGGAATATATTTAGACATAAAGCATTGAAGCACAACGCGCGCTGAAGAACTCTTTGAAAGAATCTGTGTTAATTGACCAGCGGCACCATTGAATTAATGAAGTTACATTATGTGTGGTGGAAAATATTTACCTTGAGTTCACATACGGCCCGTTAGGCTCCCAATCCTTGTTAATTGGAACAAAACGAGGCAGAAGCAGAAGCTGGGCAGGACCTAAGGGAATCTAGGTCATAAATTCAGTTTCATTTTGGGCTCAGTTGTCATTGAGTTGGAAATTTCCTATGTGTCGACTGGTGTGTACCTGTCCACGTGCCCATGTTTGGTCTCAGTCTAATCTGACAACCGACTTTTGTTTGTTTGTTTAAACCTTCCAGAAAAAATACCAGCATCTTATTGGCCCATTATTTATTCAGTAAATTTAGAATACATGAACATCAGTATTTTAAACTGTTTGGTGGACATTTCACTGACTCAAAGTAGCAGTTTTCAGTTTTACTTAAATGTGATCACCAGAGTGATCTGCCAATATTAATTCAATCATGCTGTGTTTGCTTCTATAAAGAAAGGTCATCAGAACATGGATCGTACGATTTGTGTTCATTTTCCCACATAGGAAATTTTTTAGGAAACTGGAGAAGGGTGAGCTCCAACCCATTCTCTAGCAGGAAGGATACAACTTAAAATGGAGTCACTCAGGTGCCTCTAATAAAGAAAAATGTTATTCCCTGCTGTGTCTGTGGAATTGAATTTCAAGAATACATGCCAGTCAACTCTGGAATGGCTACTGGTCGCATAGATGCATTTTTATCTGAGAAATCTGGAACTTGGATTATTTTGATAAAAGGGACGTAGGAGAGCTGCTGGGAAGACCGCAGCTTCTAAGGAGGTAGAAGCACTTTTGTAAATGCCCATAGTCACCCCCGGGGTTCTCATCCTCCAATCCTGCCTCATGGAGTAAACGTGAAGATTTTAAATGGAATCATGTAATTTAAATTCCTCGTTTTTCAATGCCTTTGTCAACTCCTCCTTGTAGTTTTTGTTTCTTGTTGTTTTTTTTTTAAACCATCAACACTTGCAAACTTGTGACGTTCACTTGAAGACTTCAAGATGCTTGAAAATAAAATTAAAAAAAAAATTAGTATCTGGTTGGGAATTGTTTCTATGCTCTTTTGCTATAAAATAAGTTTTCCAGGTTGCTGAAAATACCTAGCTGCCTCAGCTTAGATGTGAGAATCCACCCTGGCTATGTCTTGATTCCCCAGGGGCCACCTTGCTCTCCGACTTCGGGTCCTACCTGCCTCATTTGTACCTTGACCTTTATTAGCCAACAGGCCTCCCGTGTGGTATCCAACGTCCGGTCCCTAAAACGCTGCCGACGCAGCTCTCCCCTGCGGCTTCTCTGCTCCTGCAGGCTTCCTGGCTCCTCTTGTTCCCGTTCCCACTTGGTTTCCCCACTAACATTCCCCTACTATGGCCACACCACCAAGAGGATGAATGAGAGGTATGACTGGATGATCATGGTAACTTCTATGTGCCTTTGTTACTGTAAACAGTTTCTTCCTAAGTTCCAGCCTAACCCGTGATAACCTCACCACCTGGAGGAACCCCAAGTAAGCTGAATGGCTCACCTTCCCGCTCCTTACGGACTAGAAGAGCAGACGAAGCGAGGTTGGCAGGGGTCCAGCCTTACTCCGGAGACACAGCCCAAAGGCATCTCTCCACCATGACCTGACACAGGCTCGGTGTGCCCCGAGTGCAGGGGAAAGTTCAGGTGTGAAGGGGCTCCAGAAGGCCTTGCAAAGACGGCCGACTGCCACCCAGCACACTGGGGGCTACTCCAGTATTCCCAGAACTCAGTAATTCTGTGAGAAATTTAGCCCGAGCGCCTTCCCAGCAGTCTCAACATGGGTGACGCTGTTGTGCGTTTATAGTACAATGTTGTGTTCCTGAAATCTGCATTGCATTGTGATGGAACCGCGTATACGTATGAAAGGGATCTGTTGGATTCCCTTCGGCAAAGAATCGCAGAACTGGTTTTTGTCGTTGTGTTTTTGTTTTGTCTTTGTTTTTGTTTGTTTGCAGAAATGGTGTCTAACAATGTCAGTTAAAGTGAGACTTTGGAAGTAAGAGAAGGCAGTGTAGCCTTTTCACTCTGAAATGGCAAATCATTGTATTCTCTGAGTCTACCGAAGACTCCTGTTTGAGGATTGTGATTGGAGAGGCGTGTGTGTGTGTGTGTGTGTGTGTGTGTGTGTGTGTGTGTGTCTGTCTGTCCTCATACTTTCTGCCATGGTGTTAAGACCTCCTTATGAAGGCATCCAAAGAATAGCAAGTGGTGACAATAGGTAGTTGACCTGAGTAAACTCAGTCCCGTTTGCCAACAACTCAGAGACCTGGAGTTGTTCTAGACAATGGTCGGAAAAGTCAGCCATCGCCTTAGCCTGTTCCCACAGTTAAGTACGCTCTTCTCATCCACAAGGATGAAACTCAGTAGGGTTTGGCCCGAACCCCTGGCTCATGTGTGGGGTTGGACTGGCAGTAGAGACCAGACCAGCACAAGGCCTGCAAGACATTCCTTTGAAAGAGAAAGCGTTTGATGTCATTTGTTAGGGTGCAGAAACCAAATAAAGGCCAAGGACAATGCTCATTCCATGGACGAGAGGTGAACTCCTCTGCTGGCAAGACATTTTGAGTTCAGTGAACGAGGAAGTTGACCCAGCTACAAGGAACCCTGAGGTCATCAGACCGCAGAGAACAGTATGTGCATGCAATCCCATGGGCTGTGGACATGGAAAGGAAGGGAGAAAGACATTCGTAAAGTCAATCTTCACAGTTTTTGCAATACCTCCTATTTGCAGACTTTTTGGATTTCTGTTATTGCACTCGTCGTGTGATCTATCTCATGTATCTGATAGTTTTTATGAATAATTGTTTTGAGTTGTAAACTCTTATACACTTTATTAAAATGAACCTAATAAAAGCAAATGATCTATATTTTGTATTATTTCTTAAGTCAGATCTTCCTAGGATTGAAGGCCTCCATAAGTACCTTTTACAGTGCCACACCTAGTTTTGCGTTTTTAAGTTTCAAGGTTGATTGGTTGGTTGCTTGGTTGGTTTCCGATGCCAGCATTGCTACTACCTGAGACCTACTTTCCATTCTAGATGTTACCTGGAGACATAAATGAAATAATAAAGACAGCGGGGCCATAAGGACTGAGCCAAGAAAACCACAGAGCTCTCTGCTATTGTAAACTTTTTTTTTTAATTTTTATTTATTTATGATAGTCACAGAGAGAGAGAGGCACAGAGACATAGGCAGAGGGAGAAGCAGACTCCATGCACCGGGAGCCCGATATGGGATTCGATCCCGGGTCTCCAGGATCGCGCCGTGGGCCAAAGGCAGGCGCCAAACCGCTGCGCCACCCAGGGATCCCTGCTATTGTAAACTTTACCATGAGCCCCTAAAATACGTTACCTGAATATGACCTGCGTAATATTCAGTCTTTCAAAACAAACCAAAAAAGCCCTTAAGAGAGACCAGCATTAACATAACAAATTAGAGGGAAGTCTTGGAAACAACAAGCAGAAACAACAGACTCTTAACTATAGAGAATTAACTGGAGGTTACCAGAGGGAAGGTGGGGGGGTGGTGAGCTAGGTGAAGGGGATTAGGAGGACACTTACCTTGAGGAGCCCTAGGTCATGTATAGAATCACCGAACCCTCTATTGTACATCTGAGACTAATATAACATTGTACGTTAATGATACTGGAATTAAAATTTGGAAGTACATAAAGTACACACATACACGCAAAGAGAGGAATTGGGGAGGAATGAATGATACCTAAGAATCTTAAAATCCCATAGTGTGGGAGAGAAACTGCCTGCTTATTTCCTCCCCAAATTTGACAAAATAACCCAACCATAATATTTTAGCTTTAATGAGTTTGGCATCCATCATTCCGGGAGAATTGGTGAAGGGCTGAGTTCAGGTCTGAGTTGAAATTGGCAGTGGAAGATCCAGGGATATTCCGAGAGTTCCGGTGGGACTCACATGAGTAAAACCAAAGTTGCCTCCTTTTTCTGAAGATTCACCGAGATCTGGTTCGTGTATGTCTAACGATACGCCCCAGCTCGTCCTACGATGCAAAGTTCCTGTGCTGCTTCTGTTTCAAGTTACCGTGGACCAAGAGGACAGTCATCTTTGCCTGTGACTTGGACTGCTCTGGGGGTAGTCAGGGCCTTCTGCAAATGTGGGTGGACTCAGCCCTGCCTTCCTGGTAGGGAGAGCCCAAGTCAGAAGCTCCAGTTCCCACAGGACGCTGTCGTTCGCATTCGCCCCGGTGTGGCTCATTTTTGCCAGGCCAGCCCCGAGACTGGTTAGTAAGAGCCCAGTCAGGGAGGGGGTGCCCGAATATCAGCCCCTAACTGAGAGCCAGTGGGAGGAACCAGAGTGAGACCCAGAGAAAAGCTGTGAGCAGATGATTTAGGCTTGTTCGCCTGGACTGGGAGACAAAGATCTTTTTCCTTCCATCGTAAGAATTCTTCTTTGAGTTCACCTTTCCTTGGGGTAGCAAGGTCTAGAGGGTCGG